AGGGGGGGGGGGTGGTTCCTGGTGACCGACAGTCTTAGCTGCTGTACTGGTAGACGGTATAGAGGATGTACCGCCATCGTAATTTTTATCGATAATTACTTTAAGATTAGGAAAAAGAAAAAGCAGTTCTTAGTATAGTCTGAGGGGCTGGGAGACAGGGTGTATATATATATATATATATATATATATATATAACCCTTTAGGATGACGGTACTTGAAAGGTGAACCTAGTATATGTACAGGGTAGGGTCGTAGAAGTCACTTATACACCCTGGCTATACCCTCTTCGAATTAGTTAGTGTATCTCGTAATTAATTAAGCGACGCCGGATGAGCAGGTTGCGTTTTTAAGGGTGTTTACGACACTTTCGGTACGTTGCTTAATTAGGCGGACGTCCGAGGTGCTAGTAAATGACGAGTGAGAGTACGAATTTTAGGGTTGAAAAAATTATTTCGTTAATCGGTAGGCGATTATTTTTTGAGGATTGAAATCAAAAAAATAATTTATTAGACACTACAAACTCGAAAAGTGTTCTTTTGACGTCGCGACGCTTCCGTCCAGCTGGTCGTGTTAACTGATAAAATTAGAAAAACAAAATTTTCCGGTTATCCTGCGCTTTGGGGCGTCGCGATGGCATTACGTAATTAGGTGAAATCGACGAGAGGATGTTTTTCGTTTAATTGTAATTTTTTTTCTCGCACTTTCGCGCATCATTCGATCAAAGTCGAAGGTATAAAGAGAATCGAATAAGACGAGCAAAGATAGGGAGAGCTTGAAGAATATAAAGAGAAAGATATCCCTTTCACTTTCTCGTAACGTCGGCTTTACTTCGTTTACAAGAAATAAGAGAAAAAAAAATACTTAACCACAAAACTCCATTCGCCGACGTTCAAAAAGCCCGCGTTCTCAGCTCAATGGGATTGCACGGCGCACTTCATTATGTATCCAGTCGATATTCAATTGGCTGCTGCATAAGAGTTCCATCCAGCCCATCCAGACGCGTGTAGTCACCATTGAGAAGCAAATTGGGGTAAATATCGAATTCAACGAATTAACGTTACCGACATTACCGAAGCGTTCGTTGCGTCGTTAACCGTTTTCAACATCTGCGCCATCTACCGGAATTCCCGCGAACTATCTCGTCTCGGAGTTAATAGCACGTGTATACGTGGGGAAACGGAAAAGTCTCTCCAGACAATTATTCTACGTAATTCGATCCCAGATACAGATTGGTATAGTCTCTGCGTCGTTACTATCAATTCTCGAGATCAGAATTATCCAGGATTTATTAGACAGCCAGTGCATTCTATTCCTGAACACGGTGGCGGTAATGCGGAATGTCGGTATCCGATTTACTACAGTATTCCAAGTAATGTGTCTTAACCCTATTAATTCGCCGAGTATCAGGTATATTGTTGCATTACTATTAGACTGTTATCGCTTGAACTTCTATTTTTCTTATTGACATACAATTTTATAACCTGAACGACTTTTTATGGTGCAACGGTTAAACAGACAACTCGCTCGGTACGATCGATTGACAGTTGTGACATTGAAGTGACATATTTGAAATTAAATATATATATTTACTTTCGTAACAGGATATAAATGCATTACTCACAGTGACTTCCGGTAATCGACTTGATTCCATAAGAAAAATTCGAATTTTCGATTACTCGCGAACTTAGCATTTATTCGCGAGTGAATATCGAGAAAGAGAAGAATAAAACAGAATTAAAAAAAAAATAGATAGAAACTACACGGGTTTGCCGAGGCGCATTGCGATGGGCTAAAAAACAAAAGAAACGCGAAACCAGCAGAGAGGCGCGTAGCGTCGCGACGCTACAAGTACCGGCATCGCATAAAACGAAATGGAGTCGTTACGCCATAAGCTTGGGAATAAATAGCGTCAGGACGTTCTAGGTACAAAATCACCTGATCGAGGATAGTTAACGCGTCTGTATATCTTAATTTTTTTTTTCAGTTTTTCAATTTTCCTCTCTCTCAGCCACCCATTGGCTTTTATCTTGCTCTTGCGTTTTCCTCTGTACTTTATTGATTCGTTTTTCTCTTCTCTTCCCCAGACAACGTGCCTAACAGAACTGCCGGATGTGGCGCCCTGTAACGGGACCGTCCGGTTGCCACCGCCTTGCGAGGATTCGCCGAGCAGCGGAAGCAGCAAGGAACGCAGAGAGGAAACTCCTCGAAGAAGATGTCGAGTACTGGCGCCGATTTTACTCCTGGTGGCGGCGCTTCTTCTTGGCGGTCTGTGTCTGCCTTTATTATTACAAACGGCGCCGGCGACGCATCAGCAGAGATTGGACGTCATCAGGAGGATACTGACCGAAGTGCCGTTGATCGATGGGTAATATACGTATACAAACATATAAAAACTCAAAAATTTATAAATTAAATTTTGTAAAATTTATAAAATTCCTTTTCTCCAGACACAACGATCTACCCTGGAACGTTAGGAAATTCGTTCACAATCAATTAGGTGAGGTCAATCTGAGCAGTGACCTAGGGAGAGTCGACCCCTGGGCCAGGTCTGATTGGAGTCACACGGACATACCTAGACTGAGAGCAGGACTCGTCGGGGCCCAGGTAAGTCCCACAGAGACTCCCTGACACGGTCTGATCAAATCAATCCTACAGGACTCTGATGAACCAGGAGTATGAAAATTTGGAGCATGATAGATCTAGGGTACCCCTATGAGGTAATCAGGTCAAGCTTCCAGATTCCCACATGTCTCATGGACATGGACAAGGAATTTTTAAAAATTACAAACAGTACTCCATATAGATACGTGTTAATTAGCCAATTCAAATTGTCAATTAAACAGTTTAATGGTAGTTTTACTTTTTCATAATATTCATTCGGCTGAAGGAGCAGGCTGGGGCCTAGTCATATACATACACCTACATAAGGATTCTCATAGAGAAAGAGCCGCAGTCCCGAGAGTGCGCACGCGACACTTAAACTCGCAAATTGTCAGGAAGTTGGCTGCCGAGGCTGAAACTTTCGAGGGTGGCTTTAGCCCCGTTGAATACGTAATGACGGGGGTACCTAATCTTGGAGGCGGTTTGGTGCACACACGTAGACCATACCCGGGACCGGAGTAAGGATCGGCAATCGGGGTAGTACGCGAGGAGCTAAGTGAATGGCTCTGGAGAGGGCTTTCGCGATTATGCTCGTCGCCCATTGATTCCTGGGTAAATTGGCTTGGTACTGTCATGGGAACGCGCCACAAGGACTATTAATATAAACGGGAAGACCGGTAGGAGAGATTCAGCCGCAAAATTACCAACCCTTTGAAGGGCGTTGAAAATAATTAATTGCAAAAATTAACTAAATTAATTTCATTCCCACCAAATATCAATATATAAATTGACAACATTGACTGAAACCAAAAATTTCGTGACATCCTAGCGGTCTTCCGTGATCCCATGAATCTCAAGCCTCAAAGGGGGGTGGAATTTTGTACAGTCAGCTGATCGATCGCAATCGATCTCCCTGCAGAGAGCCGCATGCCGAAGCCAGGACCGCGTAAACCCAACCTGGGTATCCCAGTCGATATCCGTCCTCTGCGCCCTCTGTAGGTGACTTCCGGAACTACCACTAATTCATAAACTCCATAGCCAGTTTCCGATTCTCCCAAGGGTGAGCCACCCCCTGGAATAGATTTATCGCATATGCCAAATGTCCTCCTACGTACCCTGATTTCACTATATACGTACATCCAATTTATATTTTTCTTCTCGACCCCATCAGACCAACTAGGATTAGACGTCCCGACGTTAAGTACTCCACCGACTAAGGTCTCTCCTGGTTAGAGTTTCGAAACTCGATCGTTTACGAAACCCTGCGGAATCAGCCCTAACAGCCAGATAAGTTAGGGCGCCGTCTAAGAGAATTTAAGGACGTCGAGATGGCAGGTGTCGATACGCCAATCGGGCTGCCCCAAAAGAGAATTCGAGTACCGGCCGAACTACGCTAATTTAACGGCCAAGTTTCTGCCACGTGTTTCAGTGGCTGTCAGGG